CATGTATGATGAAATGGGTTGTTATCGTTGATTGGGTAATTTATTGTTTTAAGGTTTTTGTTTTTATCAATCTTAAAAGTTCATTGCTATTTTTGACTGATCAAATTTTAGGCAGAAAAATTATATTATTTGTCTCGCTCGTGGTTGGCTTAAGATAGAAAGGGATAAAATCTATTTTGTGGTTCGATAATAACGACAACAAAAGGGCCGTTTATCGAACACTTACGTGGATGRTAAGCACTTAYCARGTTATTTACCTTATTAGATGAACGTTGCAAGTGTCARRAWTCTTAYCCAGTAAGAGCAGTGATAAGGATGAAGAGTCTTACTTGGTAAGTGAGAGTGAAGACTTTTACTCGATAAACGCTTATCGGGTAAATTGTTTCATATGATACCATTTTAATGGACTATGATCTTACTCGATAAAGTAAGTTGTGTTGAATCTTACCGATAAAAGCTTATTAGGCAAGTGTATAGCCACTTTAACACTTTAGGGACATGAATACATGTGTACATTTTATCCATTTAGACCTTGATTTTGAGTGAGATATACCGAATATTGAGTCGTTTGTTTCTCGATTCACAATAAAACTTGATATCCCGCCGCATTGCGCGGGTACACAATTAGTAATTTTAAATTGACACTTTATACCCCCATAATTAATTAATTAATTTACTTTACGTCTTTTACTTTTAAATGTTTCATTTTAAATCTTTATCAAATTAACATACATAATCATATATCAATTAAAACATGTTTAAAAAATATATTTTTATTTTAACAAGTTACATCATTATAATCGTCTCGTTAATACATTTGAAATGAGTCCAATATTGAATAGTTTTTTACTTAATTATATTATTATATATTATATATATTGTGAAAAAATATTGTTAATATTTACGATTTATACTTTTATAGTTATTTATTTATATATATATATATACTATATATTTTGGGGTTAGGTTGTCTAAATTGCACTGTATAATATGTTCTGAATTAATATGTTCTTGGGTTTTTTTGAAATATATATATACATGTATTAGTTCAACCTTAATCTGAGTTTTTGGACAAGAAAGAGGGTAATCAGTTGAAATTTCATTTTAAAACCCATCTTTTTTTGTCTTTTTATGGCTTATGGTCTGTCAAATTTGTAGTTTTCTTTATTGGTTTTGAGTGTTTATCTTAAAACTCAAGTTTCTTGGTTCTTTGCTCTTGGTGTAAATCGAACACATTTGTGAAGTCGTTTAAATATATTGGATTTTAAATATATTGGATTTTAAACTGTCATACTATTTTTTTCATCGATAGTCTGTAATTGGAACCATAACTCTTATTTATTCAAATTGTATTAATATGTAAAGATCAAATGTAACTTATATCATCGTTAAATCTTATCTTATAAAATCAATAACACTTCAAAATCATTAAAATTCATGACTCCCGCCGCATGACAAAGATACACAACTAGTATTTTAATAAGCAAGAGATGATGTACGAGCTGTCCTTTTAAGGTATTTCACATGTGATGGCTCGAATCCCATTGTCACTGTCAACGGGGCCCACACTTGCTCTGCCACCTCATTTTACGGTTGGTGAACGAGTTTACAACCCCTCGATCATTACCAACCGTCAATTTTTATTTCATTTTCTAAAACAACAAAGTAGTTCAAAAGGAATTTAGTTTTTTTTTATTTTTATTTTCCAAAACTAAATTCAAATTTCTATATAATATAATTTATTTTCCACCGGCTCGTAATTAAAGGATAAAGATAAGACAAATTTCATGAAAAAGTAATGTATTTTAACTTATTTTTCTATTTTGTGATAACGTATTTTCAAACTTTCATTTGACACTTAAGATGTAAAGTTGTAAACATTTAAGTACTCAGGTAACCGGTTGAAAACTAATTTTATATTAAAAAAAACTAATTTTAAATTTAAAAAAATCATATCACTAACTACGTGAGCAAATAATACTGAGTTGGATACCGAATCACTCGCTACATCAGCATAATAACTAGTTAATGCTTCAACCGGTTACCCAGATAACTAAATGTTTATAACTTTACATCTTAGGTACTAAAATGAAAGTTTTTAAAGTACGTTACCCAAAATATAAATCAAATTAAAGTAGGTTATTTTTTCATGTAATTTGCCCATAAAAAATATATAATTTTATAAATTTATAACTGTTACTATTTTCTCTATCATTTCCTTCCATTTGGGAGAAAAATAAACATTATTTCCTTCCTTTTTTCCTATGCTTTCCTAAAATAGATTGAAATGTGTATAAGGAATATGTATTCACTAGATTGAAATGTGGGCATCAAAATTCTACGCTTAGTAATAATACATATTCTTATACATTTGGATTCAATATATTACAATCTAAAATTATATGACACCAACTGAATGATTAACACACTCAAAACATGTAATATCCAATAAAATTGCAATTAGTGCATTTTACATCCAAAGATCCACATCAGACTATGTAAACCGGACAAATGTCCCCAAAACTCATTTGAGTTAAAATCAAGCCAAAATGCCCCATAAAGCACTTGACTATTTAAATAATGTCAATGTAAATCACATAAGTCAAAAAACATATTTTTCAACCTTTAACGAATACATGACACCTATAACATGAATAAGTCCATGACCAACACGTCATTGAAGCTTACTAGCCAAAGGTCTTAAAACCGTACAGTTTGTATTCTCAAAATCCTCACCAAACCAATGAAAGACAATTGTCAAAGATTTATATATTTATAGTAAAAGGGCTCAAGTGGCACTATCAGAGTTCACAAGTTGAGAGTCCCATAAAAATCTTATTGTGGCCACAGAGGTTCAAATGCGGTGACTCTGGGCTATATGCAAAGCAGGTGATCGTCCTGTGATTAGTTGACTCGCATAGCGGGTTGGATATCCAGGTTAATCAAAAAAAAAAAAGTTGAGAGTCCCAAAACAATACTTGATCCAAAACAAAGTCAATGAACACTTTGACTCATTCGACAAAACCAAATGATAACTCGAGATAGATTTTCAAGAGTTAAAACAATATTTTGTCTCAAATTATTCAAATATCCAATAAGATCACTTTTTGATAAAGTAATATGCTTTGGTGCCTCAAAGAATTGAAGATTTTATAACCCAAATATGCTAAAAAGAGCACAAAATCATAAAACTCGTCAAATATGAATTAAACTCATGAAAATGTGCTCCAAATCCAAAATAGAGATATTTTGACATACATATAGTTTTGCAAAGCAACTAGAATGCGCCACGACCTTAGGTCATGAGGCAGGTCGTGCAACTTACCGACTTT